GACACATTGAGCTCCATTGCCGCAACTGTTCGAGATCGTGTGGAGAAGACCGAGGGCAGCACAGTAAGAGATGTTGTGCGTCCGCTTGTACAGGGTCTTCCCCAGTCCACGCATGACAGGCTGCTAGAAGAGGCTTCCAACCACACAAAATATCCTGAGTTCGAGATTGATGCTGTTGGTTCGTTGGGCGTTGACCATTTCAGCAATGACACATCCAATTTTGGTGGTAGTCCCTATGACCTTGAGACCTTCATTGAATGGTTTGTGTCAAATGAGTTTGAAGAAAATGCAGCTTCCTCTCCCACAGCACAACCAGCGGAACACAGCACAGAACAGCATCTATCTGAGCCGAAGGAGCAGATGCAACAACCGCAGGAGGAAGAGCCACAGGCTGAGCAAACAGAGCAGATACCGCCACACAAGGAAGAGCCACAGCCTGAGCAAACTCAGCAGATACCACCTCAGGAGGAAAAGCCACAAACTGTGCAGATGGAGCAAATCCAACAACCACAAGAGGAGAAGCGCAATGACAATGACTCGGACCAACGTCAAACCGAGTTTACACACCAGCAGCAGCAGCAGGTGCAGGAAGCAGGTGGTCAAGAGCCAGCGCAAGCAAATCAACAACCTCAAGAACATGATAGACCTGCTCCTCAAGAGCCACAACCACAAGCACATGAACAGGAACAAGACAAGAAACATAGCAAAGAGATTCAAATCAAAATGGATGAGTGAGATGATGGTGATGATGACCCCCCGTTGGATGGTGATGATGGTTGTTGCCAAGAAGGAGGTGAATCAGCTGCAGATGATGATGATCCTGTAGTTGATCATCCTGAGCCTGAGCCTCATGTAGATCCTTCTGGTCCTACATGTGAGACTAACGGCGCCGCCAAACCGTTGGCAATGCTTCAATCTCAAGCAGCCGATACTCATCGAACAAAGCTGGAAGTGGTTGGTTTTCTGTTATCAAAATCAAAATGTTCAAGCTAGGGCTCCAAATCCTGAAAGCCTGCTGCGTATAGTATATAGTATATAGTATATAGTATAGTATCTAGCAACATATAATATATATATACTATGTATTGATATATGAAGTGTAATGCGTGCTTGTATGTGTGCCATATGCTCAGGAGCAAGTGCATTGATGGCACACTTCCAAGAAGGATTGCACTTATGACCGCTTGCACGGGTAGTGAAATGTTTGAACTTGTCGCAAGAGCACTGGTGATGCAGCTGAACAGTGTTTTTTCCATGACTGTCATGAAGAAGATTTGAGCACAAGCACTTCTTTCATGTGCGAGATTGTGCCAAAGAAACAAGAATTCCTCCGGCATGTTGTTCTTCCAGTTCTTCAACTGTCAGAGGCCAGAGGCACAGTTTATCACTCAGCGTGTCACAGCACATCACTCAGTGCATTCATTCAGGCGATTGAGAAGGGAGTCAACATCGAGCCCGACTGTGATACGTGCTTGTTCGAGGACATCGCAAAGCTGGGTAAGCCTGATGAGGGGAAGTGTGTTCTTCACAAGGCTGCATGCGCGCCAGACTTAGTCATCAGGGCAAGTTTAGGTGTCAAAGAGATTTAATCAAATGGCATGGGTTCAAGTTGATTAAGTCTGACTCAGGCATTGCCCTCTGAATCTGATTTTGATTCGGATACGCTCACTATGTTTGGCGCAGGATTCTCTTGCAAGCAGCCTGGCAACACTATGGCATCGAATCATACACGCTTACACTGTGGGGCAACTGTAGTAGGTTAGGCCCGGCTAGATTAGGTTAGGTACTGCGAATTGCTCCTGTAAGGTCCTTCAGCAAAATGCACCCACAGTTCAAGGCGTTGAAATCAGCTATGAAGAATGGCAAGGACACTGGATGCAAAAGCTCACCACTGCACTCTGTGAATGTTTTTGTGAGGAATGTACATCAATAGCCACTTTCCGTGGAGTCCGAACTATCTTGGAACAGTGCAAGCCGGAGATTGCAATTCTAGAGAACGTCGACAGTATGGACACACAGGATGATGACAAGCAATCGCCCGAACCCAAGTACAACAACCAACTAACTAACTACAGCAAACCGACAAACAAATTACAGTATCTAACATCTAACTAACTAAACTAAACTCTAAGACTCTAAAAACTAAACACTTAAAACTTAGACTTAGTCTTAGAGTCAGACTCCGACTTGACTTAAAACTTAAAACTTTAAAACTTGTACAGCAAATCTGTTTCAACTGTTTGCCCAGGACCAATTTGGAGGTTGCTATCAGTCAGTTGCAAGAGCTTGGGTATACGGTCCATGCAGAAAAACTCAAGAGTTCCGACTATGGGCTGCCTCAGCGCAGGAACCGCGTCTATATCATTTGCCTGCGTGATGCTTTTGCAGAGCAACCAAATCAATTGATGGCCCGCATATCAGAACGCATCCGCCTTTTGCAGCGCCCAATCAAACCCCTGGTCATTGCCTTATCACTAGTCAGAGTCAAAACCGCACATTGTTGAGGCCTTGGTGCTAGGAACAAAATTCTAACATATGTTCTACCTTAACCTCGACGCAGCTTAGGCAGACTTCCTTTTGCCACCAAACGATCCAGAAGTCAAGGCAGAGTTGGCGAGACGAGATAGCAAGAAACGTGACACTGATGGGGCAGCAGAACGTTGGACAGAATCTCATTCGACGCTGGCAGAGCAATGTAGCTTGGTGACATCTTCACATGCAAGTGCAGATTAGTTATATACTACTATATACACTAGTCACTATACTATACGCTATAGTCACTATATACACTATTCAATTCAAATTGAGCTAAGATGGTGTGCAATGGCCGCTGCAGCCAAGTGAAGCATTGGCTGCATCAGAATGGTTCAAAATTCTTCCACCACGGGAGCAAGAGGTCTGGTGTCTTGTCACTTGTGCTGTCATGCTGAGGCTGTGAGTCACTGTTTGTGAAGTCTTCGTTGATGGTTCAAGTTCAGTTCAAGTTAATTTCCTGTTGGCCTTCTGCGCAGGTCTTATGCTTCATTGAAGTGATGAACCGCGGGAAAAGCGAGCGTCAATCCATTGCCTTTGCTGACATCAGCCAGTCAGTATCGCGCGTACCAACAAGCACAGGTGAATCTCAGGCAGGGTTCTCCTCTCTCTCTTTCTTTCTACATTCAAGTAAGTCTGCTTTACTTGTTCTTTTTTTTAGACTCAGACTCTTCTACCCCTAGGCCCTAGAGCCTAAATCTAGAATCTAAAGTGTCACGTGTCTAGGCTCTTAGAGTCTAGAGTCTAAAGTATAGTGACTAGAGTCACACCAGACTCATATGTCCCTGCTTGTGAGGTTCTGCCAACGATCATGCCTGGGTGTAAAATGTGGGATGTAAAGCAAAAGCGGCTTCTGCTAGGTCAGCGGCCCAGCCAAACAACATGTCGGTTGGCTGGTGATCGAATACAACAAGGCATCAACAAAGTTGGAGAGTGGGAGTCTGAAGCACCAAGGCTCGGAACTTCTTAGCGTTCAGGGACTTTTCCTTTCTGATTTGGGCATTGATATTGGCAGTGGTCGCAAGCCATATCAGCCGAGCGAGAGTCAGATTCAAGATCTGGCAGGGAACTCGTTTCTTGTTGTGTGTTTGTTTTGCTATTAATCTAATCTATCTATTGTTTGTTGTTATTGTTTATCTTTCTCTTTCGGTTGACTTCATATCGTCTGAGTCTGAATCTATGTCATGTCATATTGTTTGGCCATCATTTATGTACATATTATACACTATACACTGTATACACCGTATTCTGTTTGTATATGTCCGCGTGCAAGGTTCTCTTCTGCGTGCATCATGGCTACTATTCTTGGCGTGTTGAGCACTAGTTCGGATTGAGACCCAGTCTGAAGTGGAAGAGCAAGATATGTTGTTCAACCCACTCAGACATTGGCGCACTCCGGCCAGTTAGATTTCAATCGATCCCGCCAAAAGCAGCGGATAAAGAAGTGTAAAGTTGAAACCTTTGTGAGCTGAGACTGACACTGGCAGCCCTTTGGGTATGTGGAACCAGTGTGAACAGCAGGGAGTGAGCAGGAAAAACGGGCTGTCTGATTCTATTGAAGTGATGTCCGTTGTTTTTGTTTGCATGCAAAAACTTTTTAAACTAAAGAATCACGGTGTACTATGTACCATTGCGCCACACTGTACCATACCATCCCGTACCGCACTGCCTACTCGTACCATAGCCCTGTAACACTGTACCTACCGTACCGCCCCATACATTACTACTGTACTGTACCTTACCGTACCGTACCATACATCCGTACCTACCGCTCGTACCTTGGTAAGCTCTTACACCGTACCATCTGGACCATACCCCGGTGCAAGCAATAGAGCATATCTCTTGAAAATAGCTAAGGTATGTATCATTCAATTTTGTTTTGACCAGGGCATTCTTTGCATCACGGTCAGCCATTGTCATTGGCCACAGTCATCCACGTGGGATGGAAACGCAGAAAAAATAGGACAGTACTTGGTGAATACCAGGATTACTACTGCAGGTTCTAGTTTAATTTGTTTGGTTGTCAGGCATGTATTTCTGTGAACGACTCGGTTACAATACCTAGGGCAGCCATAAAGAATCATAAAGACATATAGACCTTCCACCCACCATAGCCTGAGCCTGCATTGGGTGCATGGCTGGTCAAGGCGTGCGAATGTCCATTCTGTATCATAGTATGCAAAACCAGTTCAGAATCGTGTTTCTCAAACACCTTGCGCATATTGACCAGCCCTTGCGTACAGAGGGGTACGCACAGTATGTATGATTTATGCAAACAAAACCTAATTATGTAACACAATCCTTTATATATATATATATATATCCTTTATGCTTCAGATAGCGGGAGGTGCTGGTGAATCCAAATCATTGTCAATCCTAGACCATTTAAAATTTTGCATGTGTCGTTATAGGAGGAACTTGCTTTGACGTCATTAGGGGGAACATATGCATCGCACGCATGCACTGAGGATATTAGCTTCAATTCTGCGACAATTGCATGTGAAAAAGCTGGCGCATGGCAGGCCACTAGCATGTGGGCAATATTAACACCAAACAGTTTCAATTGCGGCTAGCATTCGCTCGCCTTGAAATGGCGAGCCGTGGAGATAATTAGTTCGCAATTTTGAGTTGCTGGAGGGAGGTTGGTTGGTGGCAGCAGTGGGAAAGGGTGACATCTATACCTCAGTGCACTTGGATAAATCAATGTGCCACGGTTGCATCACTGCAGACGATCGCAGTTGAAGAATTGTCATAATGCAACTTTTTTTTTGCACACGCTTCATGCAGGGGGCGCCTCTAACATACCGCATCCAAGACCCACCCAAAGATACGAGGGATGTCATTTCCGCAATTTGATTGAATTCAAAACGAGTGCGTGACTAGCCGAATGTTTGGTGGCCTTGTTGAAATGCTGCTTCGTGCAAACCCCCTTTGGGCTTCACATTTCGGAAGGCAACGTTGGACATCCTGGAGCTCATGCTGAAGGTTCAAATCCTACCAGATGCCGTGTTCGCAGGACCTCCCAAAGTAAGCCGCAGCCAAGTTTTGCATGCAATGCACTTGCGTATGATTCTTTTCTTAAACTGAGAGGCTCCGCGACAAGCGCTTTTAGGGCTGCGCTTGGCAACTTGGCGGCTACATAAAACACATTGAGAAAAGGCACCTTTAGACTGACTCATTATCAATGACGCACCATGCTGGCACGGTAGACTTATGTTGCCAGCGTGCACCGGTATTCTGAACATGCTTTGTGCGAGGAAATCCATTACAGAAAACCACATTGTTTTGCGCCTGTGCTGACAACAACGCAACGCCAACAAACACGACGGCTTGCCACGGAAGATCGCGGGAAGATTAATGTTTGCCGGGTGGCTGAAGTTCGTTTCTGTTGGGGGGAAATACTATACTAAAATCACTGCGGCAGAAGCTGCTGGCTGTAACATGTTATGGCCAGACCCAGGCCAAGGCCACTTGACATTGCAGCAACTTACTCCACGGCCACGGTAGATTATGGTATATGGATTATAGATTATGCAATGGAGGACTTCTAGGCCGGCCAAGGTTTTTCTCGAATAAATCAAGATGCAAGAATTTGAGTTAATTAGCTTGAATCAGGGAATCCATGGGAATCACTCGCAAACAGCCCAAAAGACATGACATAAGAAGGATTCGCAGCTGGGACCCGTGGTGTGCCACTATATCATACTATTATCATACTATATATATATATATATGTATCCAGGTCCGGCCAAAGCGATGATTCTTCTTCGGTCACTACGACCTTTTTGGCAGAGATGCAATGCACGAGGACCGCAGAGCAAGGCACATATTCAAGTTGCAATGATTCAAGTTGTTTATGCAGAAATTGCTCTTATGTGCTTGTGTCACATGTCAACACTTGCCAACTCTTCTCCATACTCTCTGAAATACTGTCCAACGGATGATTGCCATTTGGCTGGGCCAAGAAGGTGGTTCGATCATAGTTTTCCCCTCTCCCGTGGCAAACGATGGATGGAGTTTGGACAGAATGATTCCCACCAAGACCATTCCAGGAAGTTTGGCCTAGGAATTGCTGGGATTCAAAGGAAAGGACAAGGGATTCACAGTGGGAGACGCATTCCACCCCCGGAACATTTCAAGGATTTGGATTATTGTGCCAGCACTTTCTATCATTCCGACAGTTTATAAAACGGTATCTAACATTTTGTGTGAGTCACGTCGCCATCTAAAATCAAGCCTTGACTAGATATTGAAAGGCTTTCAGCGGCACCAATCCTGATTGTTGAAGATTGCAGTTTCAACTGTGCCGCACCGATTAGTAGCCGACTGCAAGGTGAGCAGACTCGTGCCTTGTTCCCAGCTTCGCTCCCACGGTGTCACATCCCGGCCCATTCCAAATTCCAATATATGGGAATGTTGTTCATGTCCGTGCTGGTGACAGGGTGGAGTGGCGGGGGAGAAGGCTAGGAAACACTGAATGCAAGAGGCTTTAGCGACAAGCTCTGGCGTGATCGCCATATCAAAGCCTGCCGGGGCCAAAGCCTTAGATCGCAAGGAGTTTGGAAGGTAAGCGCCTTTTGAGTTTTGAGTGCAGCAGTTGCAAGATTAGAGTCCAGTCTTATCGAATCTTTGGACCTGTCGGCAAGGTCACGACCGAAGATCTTGTGGAAGCTTTGCAAGAGCAATGTCAGCCCCACGGTAGCCTGCGTATTGTATCAAGGCAGGAGATCTAGGATCGGCGAAGTTGTTCTTTCAGATTCCAAGCAAAATTGGATAATGCAAAAGATGGGTAAAAGACATTGGAAGACAGGTTTCATGCCATATCTGCACTTTAAATGTATTATATATATAATATATATATATATATCAAATATTATTACAGAAATTATATTCTTCATTCCTATTTCCGATGTTGTGGCCCTCTTCTTGTTGCATCAAGATGCATCAAGAAGGCTGGACCATCCTACTTCTGGAGTCCTTCCTTTGGCTGTGGGCATCGAAGGATCCATGGAAGCGAATTGGCTACGTGCTCAGTTTGCCGGGCGTTTGGTCTCCAAGGAATACCTCTGTCTTTGTGAAGGTGCACCCTTTGGAGCACGTGGCACTATCAATGCACCGTTGTTGACAAAAGAAGTGGATGGAGTGAGCCGCAGTGAGGTCTCTGAAAGCTTCGGACGCGAGGCAGTCACAGAATATGCGGTGTTGAAGAGATACAATGTCCGCGCACCGAGGAATTGCCCTGAAGAATATGAAGCAATGCTCCTCTCAGTGAAACCTTTGACTGGAAGGACTCATCAGATTAGAGTGCATTTGGCAAGTGTTGGTCGACCTTTAGCTGGTGATTTGACTTATGGCCGCAAGCACCGATCCATTCTGAACTGTCCCCGGCTTTTTCTGCATTGCTGTCGTATACAGCTGATGGACATCAATGACGAGGTATTCTCAGCAGAAGCCACATTGCCCAGCGAGTTGATGGATGTACTTGAGGCTCTACAGCCATTCAGAGTTGGATGAAAGTTGAGTCGCTGAAAGGGTTCTTTGACAATTGTTGGTTTTGGTTTCTTATCGATCCTTGCAACAAGCACCTCTTTGAATTGAATCCTGGTCATTGTATATACCAGTCTTGAGCCTGAGAACAAACCGCACATATCCGCAAGTTCGGCCCTTAAGATTAGGCGGGAGCGAGATGCTCGCTATTGCAGCAAGGTGCTTTGTGGGAAGTACAGTTGTTGGCAAGCCCGTGCTTTTTCCACATCATGGATCTAATTCTTGCGCTCATGCAGATGATGGCTCCACGTGCACGACTGGAATATATTGACAACTGCATATCAACGAATGGCGTTGGAAGTGTTGGCAAAGTTGTGCAGAGCTCCTGCAGAGCCTTGCGCAGGGCAGAGAATGGCCAGCTGGAAAGTCCAGGGGCCCACAGTCACCATCACCCACACTACAGATCTACTTTTAGGATCTTTTAGGGGATATTTGGGTCGCCAGTTGCCGTTGAAATTGACAGCAGCTCATGAAAGCAACTGATGCATGCCAATTCACTAGTTGGCTAGTTGGAGGTATTACAGTATGTGGTGTTTCATGTTTCACTTGCGCAGGCATTGCCAAGCAAAAAGGCTTGACTGTCTACAACAGATTTAAAGGTTGTGCGACTGGACCAAATCAAGGGTTCGATGCCAATGGCCGGTAGAGGGAACGTAACATCATACAACTTGCACTTTGTTGCAGTGCTTTGCGGCATTTCTATTATTGGCACATGGTGGGTCTAGCGTCCACATGCTGTTGCATGACTCCGACTTTTTCTGGCTACAAGTTGAACGCCAGATGCGGAATAAAGCTATGGAGCAAATGTAGCATAGCATGGGATGGACATCCTACTGCCAGTGTTGGGAGCACAGGACGAGCAACAAAAACATGAGCAGCAAGCAAATGCGGGCATCGTTTGTGCTCCACAGGTAGGTCTGGCTGCCAGTGCCATGGCTCAAAGCATGCCCGACAGGCCAGTTCTGTCTCCGGTGGCACCAGACCTGCGGGAACGCTTTTCTGCGTTATTTGCAAACCTGGCTCGGGAGGAGGACGCACTCAAGAATGTACTGTCACAAAATGAGCTGATGGAAAAACAGCTTCAGGCGGTTCGACGCTCCCGCAGCTTGGCGTGACTTGAGGAGTGTAGGTCGAGACCTTGGACGCCTCCTCCGTCAAAACAGGGTTTGCAGCATTTGCATGTTTGACGGAACTATGTGACAGAAATCGTACTACTTCTGGACCTACACACAACTGATCAGCCCTAGCTGGATGCTACCGACGAACTAAGGCAGGTTGCCGCCAGCTTTCGACCATGAAGTGGCTGATTTGAGGCAAGAAGCCTTGGTAGCCGAACAACGATGCGCTCTAGAGAGTGGTGAGGCTGGAGCGCTGGCGGCTGCTTCAGCAACCTATGAGCGACAATGTGCGCGACTTCAGGAGGGCCGCGCCGCAGCAATGTAGCCGGAGTATATACATGCGTTTTCCAAGAATGTTGTTTGTTTTTCTGTTTAGTTCGCCTGATTGGGCCTAGACACAGGAAAACATGCTAAGCTTTTCAAGAAGATCAGGAGATCAAACGAGGGAACATTCAAGATGTTCCTACCAGCATCCATAGTCCACAATGACTGTTTTGAGAGCGGTCTGTCGATGACAAGTGGGGCATCGCATGCACTATCCACCTGGTACTCACATTTGTTGAGCCCCAGTTGTGACTTTGTGATGTATCTCAGCTGCTTTGTGCAGGAGCGTTGCCAAGCTGAAGCTAGCCAAGAGCGTGCAGCAACAGAGTCTTTGGGCAAAAATGCATCTGACGCCCGTCCCAATTGTTGACAGCTTTGTAGCTGTAAGGCATCAAGGCAGCACAATTAAGATCAACAACTGTAGATGGTATATTGCAGTGACCCTTGCTCAGGAAATGCATAATCTGAAGGCGGAATGCCATGAGTTGAGCTCACAACTGGAAGGAATGGAAGCACACCGCCAGAAGGTGCTTCGCGATTTTCAACAACTCCAAGAGGCTTCCAGACGAACGGCTCCTTGGCTTAGCAGCAAGTGCACAGTATAATGTAAATATGTTTTGCATTATTGGGATTTGACGGAAACTCTGAGCGTGGTGCCAAGATGTTGAGCAAGGGGCACATTGGAGTTTGCTCGCTTCTTGTTGCTTTGGTGTCCTTTATGAATTTCGGGGAGTCAAAGCAGCTAGATGAACATTTCTCGCGCTCATGAGAGCGACCAACACACATAGACATACATACCAACCTCCCACGAGCCCACACCAAGCCCTGCGTGCAATCTCACTCCTTACAAGTGACGCCTAGCGCAGCATCAAGATAAGCTTTGTTATGCCTGCTTGTTCCATAGTTAAGTTATGTCTAATTGCTGTATTGAGTCACCATGCTTTCCTCAACACACTGTGGCACACCGTGCCTCGCTACATTTCTCTAGCACAGAGCACGGCGCAGTAAGCCGGGGGCAAGCCAGAGGCGATGAAACATGATTGGGCGAGTCAGGTGAGGTAGACGGTTGAACAGCTCTTAAGCGATACAAAGTGAGCCAAAGTGCGCTGGAACGAACTGTCGAGAAAGGTTGTCAAATGTTTGGAGCAAAGATTGAACGGCACTTGATTCTGAAGATGTTTTGGAGCGATGTTTGAAGTTCATGCTCGGACTTTGTGCAGCAGGATTGAGATCCAGTGACGCTGTCAATGTTGCAATTAGACTGCCATGTCACAAGCCTTGGCTTCTCTATCCAGATTGACATTTGAGGCCACAAAATCCAAAGAAGTTCAAGGACAAGTGCTCGAGCAAAAGGCCAAAGCTCAGAAATTGCAAGAAGAGGTGGGCTTGGTCTGAGATTTGTGCACAGTACAGGTTGGCAAGACATTGTAGCATTGTAGACTGGATCTTGACATGAGAGCAGTTGGTCCCAAAGGGTTGGCATGGAGTGTTTGGGGGAGCGTCCTTGCTCCTAGTAGCGACGCCCTTTGCTACTAGTAGCTTCTTGTTACTAGTAGCTATTTGCTCCTAGTAGTAAGGCCAGGAGCCCCTAGTAGCGTCCTTGCTCCTAGATATGTTTCTCACAGAGAGCTCGCCGCGAGGCGGCTCGGGATATGCAAGAGTTAGCTGCTTTAGACAAGCTGGTAGACTCGAAGAAGACTGATGTGGAGTATTCCAAGCGCTGGCTGGCTGAAGAACGAGAAGCTGAGCGGGATTTTTTTAGTTTAGCGGTTGGGCGAATGCTCCAGCTTCCTTGGCACTCTTGGAAGGCCTTGTGCGGTTTTATATCTTGGATGTGCATTTGTTTGCATAGTGCAGTGTTTTTATTTTAAATTATAGGTTGTATGGTATTTTTTTAGACTTGTTTTTTGTATGTTTTGCATTTGCGGCTTGTTTGTTTTTGCTGCTTTTCTGCTTTGTGTGTGTGCCTTGGCTTTTGTTTGTGTTTGTTGTTCTTTGCTTTTAGTGCGAGCCTTTGCTTTGTTTCCTCCACTTGCAGCGCCTGTCATGAAAACTGATTTGGTTGACATGTCGACCATGCTGTACTGCACCAACAACTACTACAGCTGATAATGTACGAAATCTGGTTACGTAGCTGACTCATCATTGCTCCCTACTGCTTCCTTTGCTGCAGGTAGGCTGGCATCCAAAGCAAGCCTGTCTTTACAACTTAAGGGTCCCAGACTCTTTTGGGAGCGGGGTTGCTTGAGGATGCTGTGCCTGCCATGAAGACAGGTATAACTACAGATGTTCAAGTGCACTCCCTACTTTTGCACTCAGGATCGAATTCTGTGGAGGAAAGAGCCACTCCAACGTAGCATACCTGTTGTGGGCCAGCTGAGGGCAAAATTTGGATCAGGAAGGGAATCATTCTGAGGGACAATTAGAGGAGGAAGGAACCATTCCACAGTAGCATAGCTTTTGTGAGCCGACCAACACAGTAAAGTTAGGAGCAATGAGCTATTCCAACGTAGCTTAGCTTCTGTGAGCTGGGGGACATCAGCTGCGGATGTAAAGGGTGTGCAATTGCCATAGGTCGACATGCACGTCAAGAGAGTGTGTCCGAAAGTCTTGGTTCAGAAAGAGGCCCTCTTGAGTTCTTTCACGTGACCGCTTTAGCCGTCACCTTTTAGCCATACGTTGGTCCTCACGGTGCACTACGACTTGAGCATTCTGAGCTACCATAGAAAGCCCGCTGACCACTTGCATGGTAGTGGAGCCCTACGGGGCTTGAGAGAAAAGAGATCAGTCAGACTCCGCCAGGCCGAGTTTGATCGAAGTGGTCATGGGAGAAGGGATCAACCGCTCAAAAGATGGCGTCCCGCAGTGGGACGGAGACTCACGCTCCTTTCAGGAGTATGAAGAGATGGCGCTCCAATGGGAACAAGGGATTCCCATTCACAAGAGATACCTATGTGGTCCTCGCCTTCAAGGTGAACTGTCTGGCATAGCACGAAAGTATGTGGTGGGCAAACGCCATGATTGGCTCTCCTATGCAGGTGGTGTCGAACATCTTCTACGGCACCTTCGCTCCAGCTTGGGAAGACCTCAATTGCCAGAACTGTCGGAGTACCTGACCAAGTACTTCCGACAAAGCAGACGCCACAAAGGAGAGACCATGAACTCCTACATAGTTCGGAAAAGCGAACTATACAACCGAGCCAAACAAGCCCTGTCCCGAGTCCATCAGGACCATCGAGTGACCAACCAGACCAGGTCACACCGGGGCAGCAACACACCAGCAGAAGCATACACATGGCACCAAGCCCGGCATTCCAGGTGGCAAGCATGGGAGACCGCCTCGGCACCCTCGGCCTCACAGGCTGACACCGCTGAGCAGCAACCAGAACCAAGCGCCGATCACCACAGTGACGAAGCTTTCTATGATGCCTCCGAGGGTGGCTTTGACCCATGGAGGAACTATGGATGGCATCAGTCATCCGACGCTTGGTCCAACTCATGGAGAACAGCTCAACCATATGAAGAAGATGAACCATGGACCCAGCAGACCACAGAGCTCTTGCCAGATTACCTCCAAGGCTGGTATCTCCTGCATGACGCAGGATTAGACAGCCATGAACGGAACTTGATCCAGACGGCTGTGGGCTCAGACTTCAGCACCATCCGCATTGCACAAGAATTGCGGGCTCTGAAGACGAACTCATCAAGCGAGATCAAGCCCACAAGCACTCCAGTTTCTGGAATCAAGATGAAGGATCCGGTGGAGAAGACACCGAAGGACACGAAGGATGGACCTCAGCCTCATTGGCCAATGAAGGCATGAACGATGAAGGTATCGCTCTCATGGCTTCAGCAGTTGAAGCGGAAGAAGAAGCAATGGCAGCCTTACAACAGGCTAGACGAACCTTGAAAGAAGCCAGAGCCAAGCAACATCAGGTAAAAATGAGCCGCCAATACTACAAGGTGAGCACCGAGAAGGCCAAGTTCACTGGTGATGGGGGAGGAAAAGCTGGCATCAAGTGTTTTAGGTGCGGGGGCCCGCACAAGATCGCACAATGTCCAGATCGATCAGCTCCTTCAAGAAGTGAACAAAGTCATGTGGCCACAGAAGAGGCACCTTTTGTGTGCTTCGCAAAAGAGGACCTGACGACCGTCACGATGTTTGCTGAAGAGGCCATGCTGGCTGACCAGCGAGGACGACGAGTGAAAAGCACCGAACAAGCCATTCGTGAAGGCTATGGCATCGTGGACGGAGGAGCCACGAAAACACTCGGATCTGTCCATGCCCTCGAGGCCCTAGTGAGTGAAAATCTCCGGAAACACAACCATGGTGGGGTCATGGAGGTGGACACCTCGAATAAACCCACCTTCGGCTTCGGGAACAGCAGCCGAGACAGATGCCTGAGCACCACTAAGATGCGCATCTCCGCCAACAACAAGGATGGGCTTCTCACCATCCACACCTTAGACAAGGGTGAAGGACCAGTCCTGCTGTCGATCGACACCCTGAGACGGTTGAAGGCTGTGATTGATTTTGAGCACGACCTGGTCGTTTTTCGGGCCTTGGATGATCAAAAGGTCATCACGATGGAACGTTCACAGGCAGGCCATCAGCTTCTGTCTTTAACTGATGATTTGTACAAAGATGCCCTGCCAAGTGTACAGCCCATCCCAAGTTTGAAAGCCTACTGCTCCGAGTAGGGACAACTCCTTCCTTTCGAAACGCCTGGGGAAGAAAGGAAGGTCTCTACCGTAGATCAGGGGCACACGTTTCTTGGGAATGGTCCCAAAGGTGTCAGGCTTGGAGGCTTCCTCTCATGCAAAACATGTACAAGCGACTTGTTCCGTTTTTCGCGGTCGTTCACGGATGCCGAGTGAACATGAGATGCACAAACACACAAACATTGATTTCGAAGGCATGGAAAGTCATGTCCACCCACAAGAAGATGGCTGAAAACCTAAACCTCCCGTGTCATTGCCCCAAAGGTTACCAACATGGTAGGTGTGAGGGAGGTCAGGCAGGTAGGACGGCGTACTACACTCAGGAGTTCGCCAACAGGGTCAGCCAGGCACTTCTTATTGAGCACACCCACGAAACTCTGCAGGATGAGTTGCAAGGACAGACGACTTGTCCGCCAGGTTTCAACGAAGGTCATCATTGTGTGTGTGAACAGATTAAAAAGCACGATGCTAGGATACCATGTGGAACGTGTCAAATGGGCGCACAAACAAACAGCACGCGTATCACAAGTGAGGGTTGCCAAGGGAAACTGTCGGAAGCGTTTGTGAGTCGACATTTGGAACATGAACAACAAACGGAACAGATTAAGAAAAAACTCTATTTGCTACACGCTTCTACAGGTCACGGCAGCACACGTCACATGATTCGTGCCCTGGAACATCGAGGGGCTCCTGAACATGTTTTGGAATTGGCTAGGAATTTTCAATGTCCCATTCGCAAAGAATCCCAAAAAGTGAATCACCGTCATTTGTCGTCGTTGGAACCTCTTCCACCAAAATTGGCGACTGTGAGTGCCGATGGGGGGAAATGGACAAATCCTCACACCAATGAGGAGAGTGAGTTCGTTGTGGCAATCGACGAAGGCAGTAGATTCCGGATCTCACAAATCACCAAGCATGGCAAACATCAAACTATGTCCGCAGCCATTTTCCTCAACTTCCTTAGAGAACGATGGATCCAGTACTTTGGAGCACCACAGACCTTGAGAGTCGATCCGGCAGGAGCTTTTCGTAGTCATGAGTTGGAAAGGTTTTGTGATGAAAACAGCATTTTTTTGGACGTGATAGCTGGCGAAGCGCACTGGCAATTGGGAACATGCGAACAAGCAGTGAGAGGGCTCAAGGAAGTCATGACTAAGTTGAGTCAGTCAAACCCAGACTTGTCAGCCGAAGCCTGCCTGTCAGAGGCCACCAGGGTCTTCAATCATCGTGAGATGATCCGTGGTTTTGCACCAGTTCAACACCTCCTAGGCAAAGCTCTGGATGAAACGGGGCGATTTGTGGGCAGCCTGACAGGGGATAGCCCGCCAGAGCTCCTGAACAATCCGAGTGAAGAAATGGAACAAAGTATTCAACTCATGAAACAAGCTGAACAAGCTCTTTCAGAATGGCAGGCCAACCAACGCATTGGCCGGGCAATGAACTCTCGAAGTCAACCTCGGTATGATTACCGACCGGGTGACCTCGTATATTTCTGGAGAAAACAAGTGAAGAACAAGGGAGTTGGGAAAAATGGAATGTTTTTGGGGCCAGCATGGATTTTGTGTACAGAAACCAAGCGAGACGATCATGGGAACCTGCATCGAGGAGCATCAATTTGGTGTGTGCGGGGACGTCGCCTGGTCTTTCTGCTGCCCTGAACAATTACGACCAGCCACATTTCGGGAAGAACTTGTTGAACACCTTCGAGACCATCCCGAACCTGAGGCCCCATGGACCTTTCCACGTGTGGTGAGTGAACTGGGGGGTAACGAGTATGAAGACATCTCTCAGGAGGTACCGGACGTGGCTGAATGGCAAAGAAGTCAAGATCCAGAACGACAAAACAATGACCCACACGACATGGAAGTTGAGCATTACCATCCTGATCCCCAAGTACGGCATCGATATAAGCGTTCAGTTGAGTCCACCCTTCATGAAGAAACAGGACAACCAAAACTGAGCCGAACATCCTTGCTGACATCGCATCCTGGAGGATCTACCTCATCGTCTTCGCGAGGCGAGGCGAGTGGAAGCATGGACCATCAAGCGTGGTGGAATCAAGTAGACCCAGCTCTTTTCGGGGAGCATGACGAAGGGCAGGTCTTCTGGAGTCAAGATCAGGCTTCCATTGAAATTGAGATCCCCATGCCATCATCTCGGAATGGGATACAAGCGGCAATCCAGAACCTTGAGGCCTACTTCACGAATGCTATCAAGCGCAGTCATATTGAAGTACATGAAAGCCGCCTCTCTCCTCAGGACCGTGAAAAATTCCGAGAAGCCAAGGGATCTGAAGTTTCCAACTTCTTAGCGGCCAAAGCCTTTGAAGCTATCCCACCCGAGTTGCGACCAAGTGCCAATCAGGCTATTGGGATGCGATGGCTGCTTACATGGAAGCTGAAGGACGACGGCAACTACAAAGCAAAAGCTCGTGCCATTCTCAAAGGGTATCAGGACCCGGGATATGAGTTCAGAGCGACGACGACTCCGGTGATGACAAGGCAAACCAGACAGATATTGCTATTCATGGCAGCTCGCCATGGCTGGAAAGTGAAGAAGGGGGACGTGACTGGAGCCTTCCTACAAGGCAGGGAGTATCCTACACCCCTGTACTGTATTCCATGCAAGGAGATTACCGATGCCATGAATCTATCTGAAGGGGAGATCGTAAAGGTCAAGAGGGGATGCTATGGATTAGTTGATGCTCCGCTGGAATGGTATCGAACCATTTCAGAGTACCTTCAGGAAAAAGGCCTTGTGAAATCCTGGGCTGACCCTTGCTGTTGGTTGTGGAAACCAAATGGCCAAACCACAGCCGGCATGATCGCAGGTCACGTCGATGATTTTCTGTTTGCCGGCCCACCAGAAGACCAAAGATGGGTTCAGCTGGACAGGGAAATCAAAGAGAAATTTAGATGGTCTGATTGGGAAGAAAACAAATTTGTACAGTGCGGAGTTCAGATCGAAGCCACAAAGGATGGTTTTGAACTGTCTCAACCAACTCATTTGGATAAGGTGAGTGAAATCAATTTATGTGCCACAAGAAGGCGAGAAAAGAATCAGCCAACCTCGGAGTGGGAAAAATCCAAGCTCCGTGCCATCCTTGGTGCTTTAAGTTGGCATGCACAGCAAGTTGCACCTCACCTGTCAACAGAAGTTGGCTTGCTCCTTTCAGATGTGACAGCAAGCACAGTTGAAACAATCGGACGAGTGAATGGACTTCTTCAAAAAACTAAGTCTCGAAGAGACCACAAGCTGAAGATTCAGAAGATTCCTGCACACGTTCCTGTAGGCATGTACGTTTGGGCCGATGCCTCCGGTCAAAACAGAAGAGATGGCAGCAGCACCCAAGGCTTGTTTGTAGGAATTGCACCAATGACACTTCTTGAAGGAGCATTTGAGTCGGTCGTTCCTGTCTCATGGCATGCTAGTAAAATTGATAGGGTTACTAGGAGTCCAGCCTAATATTTTTGATGTGGATCACACCGTGAACTTGACCGAGGGTTGTGTGGTGTCCGACTCCCGCAACGTCTTCGATAAGTTACAAACAGAAGAGCTCAGCGTTAAAGGCGCCGAGAGAAGAACTGACATAGAGATGCTTTGCCTAAAGTCCGCCCAAAGATACAACAACGTTAAAATCCGCTGGGTTCACTCTGAGGCACAACTTAGCAATGCTTTGACTAAGGAGGGAGCTAAGGAAATGGAACTATACTATAAATCCCAGCAGAAGTGGCGCATTGTCAGCGACGAGCACATGAGATCAGCACGCAAGCGGAAACAACAAGGAATGCCCACTTTCGAAAACTCCTCGGTTGGTTGACCCCGGTGGTGTCTGGTGGTTCGTTTTGTGTTCCCCACTCGAAAGACATGAGGGGGAGACCGGGGCATGCAATTGCCATAGGTCGACATGCACGTCAAGAGAGCGTGTCCGAAAGTCTTGGTTCAGAAAGAGGCCCTCTTGAGTTCGTTCACGTGACCGCTTTAGCCGTCACCTTTTAGCCATACGTTGGTCCTCACGGTGCACTACGACTTGAGCATTCTGAGCTACCATAGAAAGCCCGCTGACCACTTGCAGGGTGTATGTCCAAAGGATTGTAAATAGGACGCCCAGACTGCTGTAAATAGCAGCGGGCTGTGAAGCCCCAGGATTCTGTAGAAAAAAACGGGAAATACAAAATTACAACCGCACCTGTGTTTTTATCTTATATTTGGTGAAAGTTGTGTGGGTGAGAGTCCCACACTCGGTGTGGAGTTTCTCACGGCTTGCCTGAGGAAGCAGCACTCCAAAGTGAGACACGCCACCGTGAGCAAGTGGGAAGGAGGACCAGGTACGAGGAAGAGCTCAGCAGTCTTAGTTCTCAGCTGGACCAGTGCCGGAAGGACCGGCTCACGGAATCTCACGGGGGTTAAAACGGTGATGAGAGGGAGAGAGAGAGAGAGGCAGCTTCCGAGACATGTTTGCATCATGATATTGAGGACGGCAGTGAGCTTCAGGCTCAGCTAGATGCCACAATAAAGGAGGCAGCCGTTCTTCAAGACAAGCTTCGTTTGGAAGAGCAACGCCATCGCAGTGAGCTGGAAGCCGCAGAGGTTGGGTGGTAAAAGAGATGATAACAACAACAACAACAACAGCAACAACAGCCTTTTCATACTGCAATAGCTGTGTAATCACTGCAACTCATTCACGGTGAAGTTCAAGACTACATACGGCAAGTAAATGCGTTTGCCAGATGTTACCCTGAACGTGCCCAAACCATGAATGAACCTGAAAGCATTTATTTGGAGCGTCATGGGGACATTGGGTGAGGCCTCCAAAGCACAGAAGGAAAGGCTGGAAGCCGAGCTCAAAGGAGCAGAAGCTGCAAAGGCTGATGTAGAGAAGGAGCACTTGGGAAAGACAAACTCATAGCACATTCTGGCTTTGCTTGACACATTTTTGAAGACCTAAGACGTTACAGCCAAGTTGCACCAAACAAACCAAGTGGCAAGACAATTTAAAGTCAACCAATCCAGCATGTCAGGAGCTCGGGGACCTTCGCAAGCTTGCCGCAGATTTGGTTGAACAGTGTGCATCGCAGCGAAGATGGAGAGACGAACAGGCTCAGAAGCAGGCGACCCAGCAGCTGGCCTCCGAAAGGCTGAGGAAAGAAATTCAGCAGCTGCATACCGAACAGGCTCGCTTGCAACATGAAGCCAAGATGACGATGCAGGATCGCAATCGCTTGGAGGTAGAACTGCAGGTGCTTGGGACCCCTGATAGATTGCTTCGCGTATGGCTTTCAATGTCATTTTGTTAGCTGCGAATGACATGCGCCGTGCCCTTAACGAATAGGATAGTTAGGCTTTTGAAGCATTGGGAGTGCATGTGTTTTTCATGTTTCCTTTTTCCCCATTAATATATATATATATAGTTATATATATATTATTTTCCTTCATTAATATATATATATATATGCGTGTTGCTTGTTTTGTCCTAGATGTAAGCACCTTCCAAAATAATATGGTTATACTACTACAACATTCATAATGTTTTTTGTGTCACATCACCATACCACATTCGGATCTCTCTCACTGCCTTTCCTGACGAGGTGGCCAAGCCGGCTCTGGAGGAAGCACGTCGGCGTTGCAAAGACTTGGAGTATCGCTTGGTGAGCCGAGTCCGAGAGCTCAGCGACGAGACGGAGCGCGTACGGCGTTTGCAGCTTGAAGCAGAGGTGGCCAAGTCTCGCTTGGCTGCAGTGGAGGGCAACTTGGCGCAAGGCGCAAACCTTGTTGTTTTGAATCCCTTAGCCTCGCTTGATGGGCTACAGGTCTAACACGTCACAAGACATTCTCAAAGTAAATCCAAGGCCAAAATAGCTTGGCCGTGCGAAAGCTGGAAGAGCTTTCGTCCCCTGACAAAGCCATCACCGGAAGTCCTCCAAAGCCGCCGATCTTGAAGGAACCTCGTGGAGACTTGAGCGGGCGATGGTCCAGAGGGGATGGGAAAACGAGGAACGCTACTATAGCTGCTATAGCTCCTGAGGGCATGGGAAATACCACAGGGGTGGGCCCGATTGGCATAGATTCAACTGATTCTATGCGGTTCCTTTGTGAATATGTGGCCAAAGAGGAGGCCAGATTGGGCCTACCAGCTCCACGCTAAGCTTTGCGCGCTTTGTATCATAGGATTTGAGAGCATTTGAGTAGAGTAGCTCATGGGTTTTGAGAATCAGCCCTGTTTGCTTGTCATTGGTTGGCCAGTGCTCATGCATCACTCTTTTGATTTGTTTGTTGGTTCTATGATTCTTGAAGCCGCATTCTTTTCACGCAAATGTATGTTTACAATCATCCCGCCGCTTGGAAACAAGATGCAACTTTGCAGCATAAGAGACCGCCTCATGAAGACTTCACAGGTACCCGGCGGTAGTCGGGTGCCTTTGTGAGGCCGCAGGGAGCCATCCATGCCCCGACTCTGACAGAGAGAGAGAAAGAGAGGAAGAGAGGAAGGGATGAAGGGAGGAAGAGAGGAAGAAAGAAGCATCACAGATGCAGTGACAGTACTTGTGCACACCGCTGGTTTGGAGCGCAGTTTAGTGCAGAAGAGTTGAAGCCTCCTCAACATGCCTGTCAGACCCGAAAACTTGCTCGGTGTGAACATATTTGGGCTGCCAGAACAACCAGTACTTAGAAGCGCCTCAGCTGCTGCCCATTTTTCTGTAGAATCATAAGCCTAATGCTGCAGGCAAAAATCTATCGTTTTAAAACGAAGTGTGGCTTTAGTTCTCTTCCAGATTCTTTGAAGGAAAAGATGAAATTGCACTACGGCGAGGACATGTCCGAACAACTGTACCGGTCTTTGGCCTTCTTGGCCGCAGGGCGCTTGCCACGAAACAGATGCCAACAGCTTGACTTATCCCACAAGCTGCTTGTGGAATGCGACAGTTTTCAAAGGTGTACAACAAAAGCCCTATCTCCAGCGAAAACTTCTCACTTGCATTTGGCCCAAATCAAGCAATAGCTGTCATGAAAAGGGTCCGCCTAAGTGACGACAAATGAGGCCACAATGTGTGGTTCTAGCAAGTGGCTAGACTGTGCTGTACCGGACCTTTTGATGCAGGCCCCCGTAGGAAAAATAATTCAAGTGCATTAGCCGGATTGCCTGGAATTGGGGTGTGGATTTTGACATTTGGCTTTGTATATGTTTCTTACTACGCTTTAGGGGCGCTGGCCTTCCATGAGACGCTTTAGGGGCGCGTCTCCTCATATCATGAAAACACATCTCAATTGGCTTTCAAATGCTTTGGACTCTACCCATACTTTTGAAAGACTTTGGTGATTTGCCTGGATTCAGTGCTTGAGCGAGTGCCGGCACAAAGAACTTTGGAGGATCATGCGATGTCACTATTCCCAGAAAACTACTCCTTGATACTGCACGTTCTCCTTTCAAGCTCGTGACTTGAAGAGTTGTTTCGTGCGCAGAGAAGTCCATCTCGCATGCATCAACAAGAATCACGGTACAACAAGGATGTGCGAGGGGCACTCTATTTTTCTGAAACCGTTGAGGCACTGCAGTCCAGTGGTATCGACAGAAATGCCACCACATAGTCGTAGACTGAGGTTTAAGTTCAAGCATGTATATATAACTGTATAATATACATATTGCACTGCACGCTTAATTTCTTACAAGCAGCTGCTTGTGCTGTGTTCTCTTGATTTCCTTTGTCCCGACATGGTCCTTGGGAAGCGCGACCGCTTTGATGGCTGAGCCGTTGCTGCAGTCACTTGGAGTTGGTTGGAATTTGAATGGCGGAGACGTGTTGAGGCTGTTGCTGCAATGCTCAAACAAAGCAATTAGGCCCTTTTGGCACACATTCAATCAATCCAACCCACACCACCTTGCCTTTTGAAGTAGTTTGGCTCCAGCTTTGAGATTTAGCACGGTACATCATAATTTCTCATGCTGCCGGCCATGAGGAGCAAGGGTTGGCGGGGTCCTTTCGCGACCCTCATGAAGGCGCTGTTCATTTTGGGGGCATTAATGATGTTAGTGGCCGTTCCCTTTGGCCTCAGCTTCTCCAGTCTCAGAGGGAGAGCAAAGTATGGCCTTGCAGGCAAAAGCTCCGGTGTACGAGAGCTCCAAGTAAGACGATTTTCAGATCTCAATCCAGTGGCTCAAGCAACAAGGGAACAGGCTGCAGAGGTGATCAAGGACATGCCATTTACAGCAGCTCCGGGAGATTTGATGGGTGGCGCGCTGCAAATCATTGTCATCCCCTTCTTCCTTGGTGTTTTTATAGTCTACTTGGTGACTGTCTTCAAGCCTGACATGATTCTAACCGACAACCAGATGGTGGAGTACAAGAAGGCTGAGAGGAAGTACTTTCTAGAAAAGAAAGGGGCAGTCAAAGACCCAGACGAACCGGCAGAAATGAATCGCGCCAGCAGACGTGCTAAAAGCCTCAAAGGAAAGAGGCGTGTGAAGAGCTGAGTAGCGAGTCTCAAAGATTTGTACATGCGAGTAGCGAGTCTCAAAGAGCACGACAAGATGCCTAGTTCAACCTCCCAGTTTTCAGACAGACAAGCACCATGCGGGAAGAAAAGTGCTGCATGCTGCAAATGTGTCAAAAGCAGCGAGACACACCCACCCACCCACCCACCCACCCACGCACCCACGCACCCACGCACCCACGCACCCACGCACCCAC